GCCATTTTGATGTGATTCTCCTTTACCTGGGTCGAAAACGACTTCCCGGCCAGTGTCACGGTGAGAAGTTATTTCATATCAATCTGTGTTAAGAGTGTACGAGTGTACATGTTTGTTTTTTGCTCGGTTGTTTTCTGTGGCAGGATAATAAAGGACACTAATTTATCCTAGCAGTAACAGCTTCTGTCTTTTATTTTTTCCTTCTGGTCTGAATATCTGTGCCGACCGTTTCACGAGCCCTTTTGATAAAGAATTTCACAATACAATATCTTTAAAAAAATCTTTTAACTATTGGTAGATATTAGCCCCGTTTACCTTCTTTAATCTGAGGTCTTGTAGAAATATTATTCTTACTTAAAATATAATCCAAGTTGTGAGTGAATACTTTTGCGTGACACTGCAGTTAATGAGTGTTAACTGAAAGAAGAGAGAAAAAGGCTTCTGTTTGAGTTTAAATGTTTTAAATAGTTGTCTGAGCTGCAGCTTGAACAAAGAAAAGGTCAGATTTATTTTCTGGCTGATCCCAAAAAGACGAAATTATACAAAATTAATATAAACATGTAGTTGACAAAACTTAGTTGTACTAAACTTTATCACTAAAACAACTATCTGTTATAGATTTGAAGTATTTAATGTGTGCTTGAGACATAAATCTGATGTGTGATACCTTTGTGTTTATTTATTGATTGTATTCAATCATTGGAAAAATATCTTTATCTGTATCAGTTCTACACATGCAGTGTTTTTGTTTCTGCAGAAAACTGAATCGTCATGGATCACTTCATACCTTTATTTTCTGCCCTATAAGTCTCATCAGTCCAAATGTGTCTAAGTGGAAAAAACCATAAATACGTTGCTTCGCCGTATAAGTTGCATCTATTATGCGTCACCGCTGACAACTTGGAAATGTGGGCTGGTGTGCCAAAAATCGATTGGCTGCCAGTTGGCGGCTGCGGGAGCGTGCACAGGAGGATTTTAACAAGATTAACACTTGACAACATTTATTTGTTTGCCCGAAATGATAAATCAGCTGTATTTTCAAAAGCCAATACACGGAAACATGAATGCACAGAGGGCGTCTCGGGCATTTCTTTGAAATTTAACAAGATTAACACCTAAAACAATTATTTGTTTGCTCACCATTATAGTAAAGTTGTGTCTCAGTTGAACTTTTCCTTAATAAATGCACTTCAATGGTCAAATCAGCTTCATTTTGATGGGGCGGTGCAGTGAAATGAAGCTGATTTGATGGTTGCTCCAGGCAGACGATGGTGGCAGGGTATGGCAAACCGACTGTGGCATTAATAGCCACTTTTACCTCTTACATGATACAATGGCATACTATATTGCTCAAGTGCCATCTTGTGGCTGAAATTGGTAGTGTTCAATATTTTCAGTCAGAATGAATGAAAACGGTCATATCTCAGCCAAAAACTAGTTTATAAATATGGAAAAAAAAATATCTATAAATAAGTCATTTTGGCGTTTAAGTCGCAGAGCATGTAAATTATGCAAAAAACTGCGACACAGTAATTCCATAAGGAAATTAACTCCAGTCTTTTCCCCACTCATTTTATTTCCATCTCTTCACTCTTGGTTGAATTATGAACGAGTTTTTTTTTTTTTTTTTTTTTTTCAAATTAAGAGTTCCAATACAGAGATGTCCTTTCAGGGGTTCTGTCGTTGGTGTCCTTGTGGAGTAATACCATTGTTTTGATCCTTTACTCGTGTTTTCTGTACTCGTGCAGCTACGCTCTGCCAACCAAAAGCACAGAGGTGATGCTGATGCAGGAACAAAGCACCAAAACCTTCATCGATTCCCTTCTGAAGACTCATGAACGTGTCGTTCAGGTAAGAGCTCAGCATCACTTCTCCTGCACTCTGGGTTTTATTAAGCTCCTGTTAAATCAAACCATGTTTTCTCTTGTTCTTTGTGTTTGCAGTTGAGCCATCTGAACGCCACGTTGTGTTCGGTTTTCATGGAGGTTCTTTTAAAGAACCAACCAGAAGGAGTTCAGGTCTCTGTGACTGAGGTGAGTCAGCCATAATACAATAATTATTGATTTGTTTTTCTTACTGGAAGCATTATGGTTATAGTCCTAAAAGTTGCTTAAAGTAGTTGTATACTCATAAGCTTCCTTGAGTTGAAATGAATGATGCATCATGGGACTGCACAGTTTTGTCTTGCTACAGTAAAGTAATTAACATCAAAACACACACTATTAATAGGGCACAAAGTAAACACGGCTCACGCACCTCCCAGTTCACTTTCAGTGTTCATCAGTGCTCCGTCTGCAGCAGTGGTGTACTCTGCATTTTAGTGGTGGGTATACTGTGTTTAAAAACCAAAGTACACCTGTTAGTACAATGTTATCATTAATTTATTGTGATTTTTAAGCATATTGAACATTTCAAAATTTCTCTGATGCTTATATTTCAATAAATGTACAACTGTAAATATTATAATTTTTCACTTTTTGTTACTTTATTTTTGTACCCTTATTGCATGCTTAGAATTTCTTGTTTGTTTGTTCTCTGTTTTTTTTTTTTAGCAAGTCAAATCAGTTCTTCTCATCCTGAGCATTTCATAGTACTGTTAACTTTTCGTTAACCTGCATAGGACAAATAAACACAACTTGAACTTGAACTATCAAACACTTTCTACAAAACCAGTTTAGTCCCATCCAGACATACACTGAGCACTACTGTTTGCAAACACTTAGCATGATAAAAATGGCTACAAGTTGTGGGATTAGCTTATTTACCGCCTTTGTTTGATGTCATACGACCGTAAACGTTTGTGATAAATCCACAAAACCAAATATTATTCCTCGGCATGCGATGAAATATGTCACTAAATAAACTAGTAGACAATATGCAATGAAGAGTAAAATGACTGAGAAAGGTTTGAGCAGAAGCAACTTTTAAGTTTTAAATTCTTAACATCGATAAAATGACCATGGCCTTTGAAAAGGAAAACAACTTTATAAAAATATCTTGTTGAAACTTACTTCATTTTGTATTTTGCTTTGTGTGTTACCTGTTGTTCTGTCTGTACAGCACTTTGGTTGGCCTTGTCGCTGTTTTAAGTGCTCTATAAATACAAACCGGATTCCAAAAAAGTTGGGACACTAAACAAATTGTGAATAAAAACTGAATGCAATGATGTGGAGGTGCCAACATCTAATATTTTATTCAGAATAGAACACAAATCACAGATCAAAAGTTTAAACTGAGAGAATGTATCATTTTAAGGGAAAAATCTGTTATTTCCAAATTTCATGGCGTCAACAAATCCCAGAAAAGTTGGGACAAGTCCATTTTTACCACTGTGTGGCATCCCCCCCTTCTTCTTCCAACACTCAACAGACGTCTGGGGACAGAGGAGACCAGTTTCTCAAGTTTAGAAATAGGAATACTCTCCCATTCATGTCTAATACAGGCCTCTAACTGTTCAATTGTCTTGGGCCTTCTTTGTCGCACCTTCCTCTTTATGATGCACCAAATGTTCTCTATAGGTGAAAGATCTGGACTGCAGGCTGGCCATTTCAGTACCCGGATCCTTCTTCTATGTAGCCATGATGTTGTGATTGCTGCAGAATGTGGTCTGGCATTATCGTGTTGAAAAATGCAGGGTCTTCCCTGAAAGAGATGACATCTAGATGGGAGCATATGTTGCTCTAGAACCTGAACATAGTTCTCTGCATTAATGGTGCCTTTCCAGACATGCAAGCTGCCCATGCCACAAGCGCTCATGCAACCCCATACCATCAGTGATGCAGGCTTTTGAATGGAGAGTTGATAACAACTTGGGCTATCCTTGTCCTCTGTGGTCCAGATGACATGGCGTCCCAGTGTTCCATAAAGAACTTCAAATCGTGACTCATCTGACCACAGAACAGTCTTCCATTTTGCCACACTCCATTTTAAATGACCCCTGGCCCAGTGCAAACGTCTGAGCTTGTGGAGCTTGCTTAGAAATGGCTTCCTCTTTGCACTGTAGAGTTTCAGCTGGCAACGGCGGATGGCACGGTGGCTTGTGTTCACTGACAATGCTTTCTGGAAGTATTCCTGAGCCCATTCTGTTATTTCCTTGACAGTGGCATTCCTGTTTGAGGTGCAGTGACGTTTAAGGTGTAGTGTGTCAACGTCAGCTTTCTGACCCTCCACTACTAATTATTTAAATGTAACAGGTTCTCTCTTTTTCAAGTTAAATTTCTGCCATGTGACCAAGCTAACTGTGAGTGGAGTGTTTAAATCAGTGACGTGAGACGTTAATTTCCTTTGACCCATCAGAATAAATGTGGTCATTTATTTAACAGAATCAAAATTTAACATCAAAACATGTACACGTGATTAGCTAATCTGGTTCTGATTAATAAAACTTGGCACACTTTACTAATAAGACAACAAGACATTTCTGAAGGCATCTAGATTACTGGCAAAATAGAAGAGTTTAAAGGAAGGAATGAAGAGTTTAAAGGGAGATGGATGAAGGAAAGATGCATGTTTTGTTTACCAGAATTAGCACGCTTCTTTCAACACCAGCTCAAACCTCCGGTACACTTCAGGACGTGCAGAGACTTCGTTACCTTAAACGGGGGATACCTCCGCTCCGGAACAGGAGTCCATTAGTACGATCCTTTTACAGCGTCTCCGAGCAGGTGGCTGGGCATCGTCAGAAGTCGTGTGGTTTACTCCGTTAAACAGAACCAGCTCCCTTCGAGGTTGTAGGGCATTATGCCCGGGTGGATTCACAGCAAGGCTGTGAGCCCGTCAGAGTTTCCACTCAGGAGTGGAAGACTCCATCAAAGACTTGAGTTCAACTCAGTAGACTAGACTGAACTAGACTCAGACGACTGGCTAGATCCCAACTCGACTGAGTAGTTCCAGGAAGTGTGGAGTTTTAAAGAGTTCTCACTTCCGGTCACTCAGGACTTCCTGATTGGTTGAAACAACCAACAGGGGGTGTGTTTCAGTGATGTCAGAGGGTTATTAAAAGTCAAAAGGACAGCAGGAATGTTTAGGAACGTTTAGTACAGACAGAGAAATGTTTTGAAGAAGTGAGAGCAAGCAGGTGCCAGATGCTTCTTTTTTAGGTTTAAAAACAACACAGCCTGTTCTAATAATTTCCCTCTGACTGTCTCCGACTTTTGACCGACATCACTACTTCTCCTTTAGACAGAAAATCAAAATGCATAATTACTTTGTAAATAGACATTTAACTTGATTTCTAATTTAAATGAGGTGTAAAAAATCATTAATACTGTTTCACAGTTGATTTAAAATGAGTGGTTCACTTGAACTAAACACACTTTTGATTATCAAGATATTGTAAAATAGTAATGATAATATAAAAGAAGAGTGTTCTTTCAATTGATTACTTCAGGATACAATTAGAAAGTCTCTGGATGAGCTAATTTGTATTTCTGGATTCAAATCAATGAAATAACAGTTCCTGTCCCATGAAGGTCCTCAGAGACAGGTTTTGGTCGGAGGCCGAGTTCACTACAAAGGGCCCAGAGATCACGAGCATCCAGTAGAGTTTTACGGCCTTGACCCTCACGCACAGCGATATTTCCAGATTCTCTGAATCTTTTGATGATGTTATGCACAGTTGATGATGATAACTTAAAAGTCTTTGCTATTTTATGCTGGGTAACATCATTCTGGTATTGCTGCACTATCTTTCTGCGCAACAATGGTGGAATTGGTGATCCTCTTACCATCTTGGCTTCTGAGAGACACTGACACTCTGAGAAGCTCTTTTTATACCCAGTCATGTTGTCAATTGACCTAATTAGTGTTAATTGGTCTTCCAGCTGTTCATTATATGCTCAATTTTTTTTTCCAGCCACTTATTGCTACTTGTCCCAACTTTTTTGTGATTTGTTGACACTGTGAAATTTTGAATCAAATATTTTTCTTTTAAAATGTTACATTTACTCAGATTAAACTTTTGATCTGTCATCTATGTTATATTACGAATAAAATATTGACATTTGCCATCTCCACATCATTGCATTCAGTTTTTATTCACAATTTGTTTAGTGTCCCAATGTTTTTGGAATCTGGTTTGTAAAATGGTATGGTATGGTAAACGATTGATGTTTGACTTTTCTGTTTTTCAGCAAACCGAGGCAGATTTCAACGCACGCTTCAAGACACGCCCAGAATTGGAGGGACTCATGGCACAGATAAAAAAATAGTTTTTCCCTTTTAAACTCGACCTTTTGACCTTCAAAACTTGGATTTTTTTTGAGAGGGGGAAAACTGTCATCTGGACATATTTATTGTCTATGGTTCTCCAGGAAAATGCAAAACAAAGTCTGATCAATTTAAAAGTTCATGTTTAAGAACTGTGTTCATTTAAACATCTGAAATATGATTTGTATTTGACGTTAACACATTTAATCGGAAATCAAACAGTTTCTGTGTAGTAAAGTGTTCTTTACTATAAATGTGTTTTATGCTTTTTATTTTTGCTGTTTTTTTTTTTTTAATAATAAAGCAGATTTGTTTCAAAATAGAAACTTTTGAATGGTCTCGTTTAAGTTAAACATAAAATAAGTCTTCATTAAATGTACTGAAGTGTGACTCATTGACTTGTGGTAAAATAATAAACTTTTTTTGACAATTCTTCTCTGGGTCAGATGCACTGTAGAGGCTCATTTCAAATAACTGGTCACGTTTTTACAGAAGAGACTGCTACAGAACAATAAAAATGTACCAATCATTATTGTCTAGATTGAAAGGAATGTGTTTTTGGCCTTAAATACATTTGAAAAAATAAAACTATGAAAACACTGAGCCTCGTGATAAAATGTGCGCGTGATAAATGAGTCGATTCTAGCCTCTGCAGTAAAAAACATACTGAACCAGCAGTACAGGAATATCAAGTTTCCGTTTGGGTTTTGTTTCAATACATGTTCATACAAAGCAAGCAGGAAAAAATACTCAAACATACTTAGTGATGTGATTGTGTTATGGGCAGGACAAGAAAAAATGGACGTATGAAGAATATATCATATGTCTGCCACAGTTGTATAATAAAAATCACTTTCCAAGATCTAACTAAAGTACTGCATGCTAATTATTTAATGTTAATTTGTGTAAATGTTCCAGGTTTGTAGTAATTAGTAAATAAAACTTGTAAATTACAATCAGACGGGATGAGCTAAATATGCAATGTGAGGAAACACCTGTTTGGTCTTCTACAGGTGCGCTGGTCATAAAATTAGAATATCATGAAAATGTTTATTTCAGTAATTCCATTCAAAAAGTGAAACTTGGATGTTATATTCATTCTTAACACAGATATATTTCAAACGTTTATTTGAATGTTGATGATTATAATTGATGGAGTCAGCTTCCCCACCATCAGACATTTACACCTCCACATGCAGGAAGATGACCACCTGCATCATGAAGGACCCTACCCACCCAGTGCACACACTTTTTGCCCCGCTCCCCTCAGGAAGGAGGTTGAGAAGCATTAAGTGTAGAACCATTAGACTGAGGAACAGCTTCTATCCTGAGGCTGTTAGACTCATGAATCTCTAATCTGCTCACACAGGCTCATGTTCGTGCTGCTGTTTGGTGTATTGTTTTTGTACTACTAGTGCTTAGTGTAGTTTTAGTTAATATTTGTATTAGTTCATATCTTAGATCTTATTACTGTTTTCTTTTACATTTTATACTTTTGTTGGCTGTAACTGGGACTGTGCACACAATTTCATTCCTTCACATGTACCACATGGTGCATATGACAAATAAAGAACCCTGAAGCCTTGAATATAACTGACAACTAATGAAGCCCCCAAATTCAGTATCTCAGAAAATTAGAGTTTGTGAAAAGCTTCAATATTGAAGACACCTGGTGCCACACTCTAATCAGCTAATTAACTTAAAACACTTGCAAAGTCCTTTAAATGGTCTCAGTCTAGTTCTGTAGGCTACACAATCATGGGGAAGACTGCTGACTTGACAGTTGTCCAAAAGATGACCATTGACGCCTTGCATAAGGAGGGCTGACACAAAAGGTCATTGCTAAAGAGGCTGGCTGTTCACAGAGCTCTGTGTCCAAGCACATTAATAGAGAGGTGAAGGGAAGGAAACGATGTGGTAGAAAAAAATGTACATGCAATAGGGATAACCGCACCCTGGAGAGGGCTGTGAAACAAAACCCATTCCAAAATATGGGGGAGATTCACAAAGAGTGGACTGCAACTGGAGTCATTGCTTCAAGAACCACCAAGAACAGACGTATGCAAGACATGGGTTTCAGCTGTCGCATTCCTTGTGTCAAGCCACTTTTGAACAAGAGACAGCGTCAGAAGCGTCTCACCTGGGCTAAAGACGAAAAGGACTGGACTGATGGCAAGTTGTCCAAAGTTATGTTCTCAGATGAAAGTAAATTTTGCATTTTCTGTGGAAATCAAGGTCCCAGAGTCTGAAGGAAGAGAGGAGAAGCATAGAATCCATGTTGCTTAAGGTCCAGTGCCAACTTTCCACAGTCAGTGATGGTCTGGGGGCCATGTCATCTGCTGGTGTTGGTCCACTGTGTTTTCTGAGGTCCAAGGTCAACGCAGCATCTACCAGGAAGTTTTAGAGAACTTCATGCTTCCTGCTGCTGACCAACTTTGTGGAGATGCAGATTTCATTTTCCAACAGGACTTGGCACCTGCACACAGTGCCAAAGCTACCAGTACCTGGTTTAAGGATCATGGTATCCCTGTTTTTAATTGGCCAGCAAACTCGCCTGACCTTAACCCCATAGAAAATCAATGGGATATTGTGAAGAGGAAGATGTGATACACCAGACCCAACAATTCAGAAGAGCTGAAGGCCACTATCAGAACTACCTGGGCTCTCATAACACCTGAGCAGTGCCACAGACTGATCAACTCCATGCCACCACGCCGCATTGCTGCAGTAATCCAGGCCAAATGAGACCCAACTGAGTACCGAGTGCTGTACATGGACATTCTTTTCATGCTCATACTTTTTCGTTGACCAACTTTTCTAAAAAAAATTTTATTGGTTTTACTGAATTTGGGGTTTTCATTAGTTGTCAGTTATAATCCTCAACATTAAAAGAAATAAACATTTGAAATATATCAGTCTGTGTAATGAATTAATATAATATACAAGTTTCACTTTTTGAATGGAATTACTGAAATAAATCAACTTTTTCATATTCTAATTTTATGACAAGTACTTTTATATCAGCACTTCATGGTAAATGTTCAGAGGTAAGTCCAGCTTCATACTTAGTGGTGCTTGAAAGTTTGTGAATCTTTTAGAGTTTTCTATATTTCTGCATCGATATGACCAAAAAAACATCAGATTTTCACACAAGTTCTAAAGAGAACCCAGTTAAACAAATGAGACAAACTATCATACTTGGTCATTTATTTATTGAGGAAAATGATCTAATATTACATAGTTGTGATGGTAAAAGCATGTGAACCTTTGCTTTCAGTATCTGGTGGTGGTCTAATGGTTTTGTAACCTGTTCCAACCTGATGAGCATCAACAACTCTTTCTGAGCTCCTCACAAATCTCCTTTGTTCCTGTCATGATCCACTTCCACAAACATGTTGTGAAGATCAGACTCTGATCGATCCTGTTCTTTAAATCAAACATGGTGTTCACTCACACCTGATCATCATCCACTGGTTGAAAACACCTGACTCTAATTTCACCTTCAAATTAACTGACAATCCTAGAGGTTCACATACTTTTACCATCACAAATATGTAATATTGGATCATTTTCTTCAATAAATAAATGGCCAAGTATAATAGTTTGTCTCATTTGTTTAACTGGGTTCTCTTTATCTACTTTTAGGACTTGTGTGAAAATATGATGATGTTTTAGATCATATTTATGCAGAAATATAGAAAATTATAAAGGGTTCACAAACTTTTAAGCATCACTGTATGCTTCCATCCATCCATTATCTTTACCCGCTTATTCCATTTTGGGTCACGG